GGTGTTTTTGAAACCATTAGTGAAAAGGCCAGACTTCAGGGGTATCTGAGGCAGGCTTGAAACACAAGAGTCAGGGTGGCTTCTGGGTAATACCAGATGGCTAGGCCTCAGACTGACAAAGCCTCTTGGATGAGGGGCGAAACGTTTCTTTTTAACAAAAAAACGAAGTCCAGATGACATGATTCAACCTTTTTTGTTGTTATATACCTGGATGACTGAGAAAACAAACTTTGTGTTTTTGAAACCATTAGTGAAAAGGCCAGACTTCAGGGGTATCTGAGGCAGGCTTGAAACACAAGAGTCAGGGTGGCTTCTGGGTAAGATGGCTAGGCCTCAGACTGACGAAGCCTCTTGGATGAGGGGCGAAACGTTTCTTTTTAACAAAAAAACGAAGTCCAGATGACATGATTCAACCTTTTTAACTGATGGGACTGACTTCCTGATGGAAAAAAACATCCTTTTGGTTTTATCAGCATTTTGGACAAGTTTGAGACAGAACAAATCTGACTGGATGATGTCAAAGGCGAATTGCAAAAGCTGGAGAGCCTTAGCAACTGTTTTGGTTCGACAATAAACAACTGTGTCATCAGCATAGAAATGTAAGGATACACCAGGGATGCTTTGACCTACATTACCTATGTAGATTGTAAAGAGGATGGGTCCTAAGACTGAACCTTGTGGTACACCATTACTGACTATTAGATAACTGGAAGAAATACCATTATGTTGAACACATTGTCTCTGATCTGAAAGACACAGGTAATTAGAAAACCAACCAATGGTATGAAAAAGTAAGACAGTATAACTTAGTTATCAAAAGTGTCTTACCTGCTGAGAAGACAAAGAGCTGGACTGTTGCTCAGTGGTCCAACGTCCTTTTTTCAGAATTAAGTTAATTTTGTACATAATTTGGATATCAAGGTCCCAGAGTTTGGAGGAAGAGTGGAAAGGTCCAGAATCCACATTGATTGAAGTCCAGAGTGAAGTTCCCAGTCAGTGATGGTTTTAGGGTTGTGTCCTTTGCTGGTGTTGGTCCACTGGACCAAGTCCACTGGACTTTCTAAAGACCACAGCCAGGTAAGACTCTTCTAATGTTGTCTCTGGTTCAGGAGTGGCTGGACTCGAGGACCAAGACATTTTTAACTCATGCCTAGAGTTAATCAGTGCAATATGTGAATCTATGTAATATGAGTTTCACTTTCTGAAGAGATTAACAAAAAAAATTCATCATATTCTAATTATTTTAGACATACCTGTAAACATGACCACTTTAAAAAGAGCATGATAATCTGATCTTTTAATCATCTTTTAATAATAAATAAATAAATGTATGTGCTGTGAAGCAAAGCTGTAACTGTGTTCATTTCAGCAACACTTTTAAAGTGTTTAATCTCTAAACTAAGGTCTGGAAATGGGTGATCGGTGGTGGTGGGGCTCTGCAGTAATGAAAAGAGTGCCAAGAGTAAAACAGCAAATAAATCCTTGTGTGACAGGGAGCACTTTGCCTCTGCAGTGTGAAAAAGCTGAATATGCCATCTGGTGAATTGATGAGCTTTAGTTAGCTGATGGTTTGGAGCTGCAGGCTGCAGACCGCAGCCTCACTGCCTCCACCTGCTGTGAATGCTAATAAAGTCATTTTATCGCCAGCGACCATCTCCAGCACTTGCACACAGGCTTCAACCAGTCAAAACTGTGACCGAGGGCAGATGATGCACTTAAATTTAATTTTAAAATGTGAACTTTAATCCTTTAGGTTTTACATTTATTTTCTGACAAACTCTTGAGTCTGGCACTGTTCAGTTTGAAATATTTTATTGAGCTTTACACGGACAGCGCAGTCGTTCCAGCAAGGTCGACATTCTGCAGTGTTGGCTGCATTTCCCAGGTTGCACCACGCTAGATAAGTAATTTGTTCTTTCTGCAGGTTCATTGAGAATAATGACATCCAGGAGCTGTCTAAGTATACCTTCAGAGGGCTCAAGTCCCTGACTCACCTGTGAGTAGTTTTGTTTTGTGGAGAAGATTCTGCAACGTGAAAATCAAACAAACGTGTCACATGAAGTTGATTTCTGCTCATTTTTCTCACTAGGACAGCAGAATAAAACCGTGACATACGTTATAATTTCACTGTCACTTTGCAGATCTCTCTCTAACAACAACCTGCAGCAGCTGCCCAGAGATCTCTTCAAACATCTGGACATCCTCACAGACCTGTGAGTGTGAAATCACATCCTGATGCGCTTCAGTCACCCTGAGGCGTTACTGGACATGTGGCTGGTTTGAGTGTGTGAGGAACAATCATTGGTTTGAACGATTTATTTGGAATTTAAATACATTTAATGTGTATAAAACACCCACAGCCCTGTTAAAGTGCCAGGCTTTTGTCATGTAAAAATTAAGACCATGTTAAATTATTTCAGATGTTTCCCTGCCTTGAATGTGTTGATGCTTTTTGGGTAGAAGTTTATCACAAAACTTTCAACAGTTTTTCCAGATTTGTTAAAAGTCTGTTGGATTGTGAGGGTATGTTTTTGTGCCTACCTCATTTTAACAAACTTTTAATGTCCTTCTCTTTTTGCTTATTTCCCCTGTCTGTCACTCAGAGACCTGCGTGGGAACTCTTTCCGCTGTGACTGTAAGATCAAGTGGCTGGTGGACTGGATGCAGAAGACCAACACCTCCGTCCCTGCCATCTACTGTGCCAGTCCCTTTGAATTCCAGGGACGCAGAATCCACGATCTCGCCCCGCGAGACTTCAACTGCATCACTGCAGGTTTTATCTCAGTTTTCTGTGGTGTTGCGTTATAAATGGTTTGTAATTCCTGTCCGTTCTGTCCGCCAACAGATTTTGCCGTGTATGAAACCTTTCCTTTCCACTCGGTGTCAGTGGAGTCATACGAGTTCAATGCAGACCAGTTTGTGGTCTTTGCTCAGCCGGATTCAGGGTTCTGCACCCTGCATGTGTGGGACCACGTAGAGCTGACCTTCAAGAGGTTTCATAACATCACCTGTAAGTTTAGTTAATGATTGGAAAATGGAAACAAATGAAAACTAAAATGTTAAGAATGAAAAACTTGATGCTTCTTTTCTCACACAGCTCGTTCAGCCGTTTACTGCAAACCTGTGGTGATAAATAACACTCTTTACATGGTTGTGGCTCAACTTTTTGGTGGATCTCATATATACAAGTAAGACTTATTCATCTGCACAACAAAAAAACTTCCAACAATAAGAACAGCTTTTGTTGGACAAGTACACAACACATATTTACTTTGTGCTGTTTATTCCTTGACAAAATGAGAATCCTTTGATGCCAGAGATTTAGTCAAACTTTGAAAATAAAGTCCGTGCACGACCTCACTCAACATTGTGAAATTTTGCACAGTGTATTAGAGCTCAAAGTATGTGTTGTGGACGACTGTCTGCTACAACATCAATCTTGAGCTCAGTCACTGTTAAACTAAGTGCTAGCCATTTTTGTGTTTGCTATAGTCTATCTGTAGTTGCCATCTTGAATTAGGTTGACTCCAGTGGTGTAATCCACATTTTTGTACTGGGTATACTGAGTTTAGAAACCAAAGTACACTGGTTAGTACAATGTAATCGTCAATTTGTTTTGATTTTTAAGCGTATTGAACATTCCCAAATTTCTCTGATGCTTATATTTGAATAAATGAACAACAAACTTTGTACAATGGTTGGCTTTGTATTAAAAACACGTTATAAAATTGATAAAACAGTATCAAAGCAAAGTGCTGCATACAAATAGATTGTTACGGAAGTGTTTACCGTTTAACGAATCAATGACACGTGTCTAATGATGTATCATTGGGCACTTTTAAGTAGGTATACTGAAATTCTTAACATTTTCTAGTGGGTATACTCCGTATACTCGAGTATCGCATACACCTCTGGTTGACTCCAAGTGTTAATAGTTGTAGAAGTACATTAAATAAATACGATTAGAATGTTTTATTAAAACATGTCGTGTCACATTAATTACTTTTTCATTCAACCTTTATTTAGACAGGTTAATCCCATTGAGCCTTGAGGACTCATTTACAAAACAGACCTGATTTTTTACTTTACTTTACTTTATTTTTTACATTTACTTTACTTTACTTTGCCAACAGACAAACAGGGTTAACTCTGACATTTAATGCTAAAGTTTTAAGTAAAGATCCCACATAATGAGTGCTGCTCAGAGCACTTGGGGAAAATTCTCAGCTACCAGTTCAGATTCTAGCTCAATGTCTAATATTGTATTTTTGTGGTTTTCTAAGGTCAGTCAGCTGTGGTGACCACTGGGACTTGGGTTCACTCAAAACGTTAATCAGTTGTAGACGTACTTCCAATAATTAGTTTTTGAACATTTTATTAAAATCAGTCCAGTGTTTCATGAGACGTCTTGCTAATGAACATGTATGTAATGAACACACAAGGGCAAAAACATTATCACCTGCCTTTTGTCGGTGGGTTATAATGAGATGAGATTAAGAGCATGTTAATGAAGTGAAAGGATATAAAACAATAAAGCTGGTATGGTCAAACAGTCGACATGGCTTTGAATAGCTAGCTGTTTTTTCGCTACGTTTCCTTTTAATTATCATTTTGTTTTCAATTATATAAATAAAAAAATAAACTTTGCATGCATCATTTGTGAACATCTATTTTTGTCATTGTTGTCCATTGTTATCACTCTTTTTTTTTAAATTCAGGTCTCTCTTGTAAATGAGTCCTCGTGGCTCAATGGGACTAACCTGTTTACATAAAGGTTGAATGAATGAAAATAGAGTGGAAACAGGAGGAAGCAGTGAATCAGTGCATCTGTACCCTGAATATATAAACCAGTCCTCAGATCACAAGTAGTCAGACTGAAAGAAGTCTTGTACATCGCAGTAATTCATTGCTCAATATTTTGTAGAATGTCATAAAATGGTTTATTTCAACAAATGGTTCCATGTGCTTGATGTCTAATGTTTGTGGTCTTCAGACTGACAGATCTCCCTGCTTCTGGTCTAACCAGCTGACACTACCTTCACAGTAGAACTGATCTCATCACTCAATGACCAATTTATGTTTTTTTTTTTAATTTTATTTAATGTTAAAACTATTGTTTTAGTTGTGAATAAACTGATGGTCTTCCTGTGACCTCAGGTGGGAAGAGGACCCACAGCGGTTTATAAAGATCCAGGATATCGACACCAGTCGCGTGAGGAAGCCTAACTTTGTGGAGACCTTCCAGCTGGATGGGGAGTGGTATTTTATTGTGGCAGACAGCTCCAAAGCAGGCTCCACCAGCATTTATCGATGGAACAGCAATGGCTTCTACTCCCATCAGTCCCTCCATCCCTGGCATCGGGACACCCACGTGGAGTTCTTGGATGTTGGGGGAAAGCCTCTTCTCATCCTCTCCAGTGCCTCTCAACCACCGGTGGTTTACCAGTGGAACCGAGGCCAGAAGCAGTTTGTCTTCCACTCTCAAATCACAGAACTGGCCGACGTGCAGATGGTGAAGCACTTCTGGGTGAGGAAGGTTCTTTACCTCTGCCTCACGCGATTCATTGGGGACTCCAAGGTCCTCCGCTGGGAGGGGCAGTGGTTCATGGAGATCCAGACTCTCCCATCTCGGGGTTCAATGGCCGTGCATCCCTTCTCGGTGGGCGCACGGCAGTACCTCATTCTTGGAAGTGACTTCTCCTTCTCCAGAGTATACCTGTGGGATGACCTCACTCAGCGCTTTCAGCTCTTCCAGGAGCTCAACATGAGAGCCCCGAGGGGGTTCAACCTGGTGTCCGTCGACAATAAGGACATTTTGCTGGCCGCCAGCTTCAAAGGAAACACTCTGGCCTACCAGCACCTGGTGGTAGACCTCAGTGCCACATGAACACGCCAGAGCATCAAGTGGGCTTTCTCATTATAAATACAATGTGCCAAACAAAAGTGCAAAATGTTTAAGCCATGCAAATGCAAGTTTGCTGTTTCCTCTGATGTAAAAGTGCAAGTAATGAATTAAATGATAGCTGAAGTCATTTGTGATGCACCGATCTCTAACAGCTGAATGAAATCAACGTGTCCGTTAACACAAGTGTCAAGTAACTTCTGCAGTGTATACAACCAAACCAGGACAATGTTGTTTTTGAACATTTGTTTTGTACTCAACTAATGTTTTAATAACCTGCATGTGCATTTACTGAATTATTTCTGGGATTACACTTAATTTTAGATGAGTGAGAGGAAAACTAAAAAAGATTTTGCGAGTTTCTTGATGGACTAAAACCTATTTTGCATGACACTGTGTAGTCAAATCAAACAAGGTTGCACTGCAGACCTTCTGATCCGTTATTATTACAAAGAACCCACAGATGGGTCATTTGTTCTGCAATAAATAAAATTTAAAGAGTTGGCAGAGCAGAACAAAAACAGAGGTCATAAAATAATTCAAAATTTGAAACTACAGGTGTGAATCTGTTTATGCTTATTATTGCATTTCCTTCTTTTTCTGAGAATCATGTGTTCCACAAGAAACAACCAATGAGTCTTATGAGCACTGTGTTAAAATCAAATGTGAATAAATGTTATTTTAAAAAAAGTTGTGATTTTTCTCCTTAAATTATATTTTGCACAGACACAAACAGTAATAGTTGTTGTTTTAGACATGGTGAGTATTGTGAAAAATCACTGTAATGCCACTTTAATTTGGGATATGTGACTTATCAGTGCTGCTCATTATCTCATGCTGCTGATTATCTCATTTTGCTGTATTCATCTACTCACTACAGACTCATGTTTGGGCTGCTGTTGAATATACCGTATTGCTTTACATTATTAATGTTTAGCGTATATCTTAGTGTATATCTTAGATCCTTGTATACTGGTTTTTTTTTATACAAACCAGATTCCAAAAAAGTTGGGACACTAAACACATTGTGAATAAAAACTGAATGCAATGATGTGGAGGTGCCAACATCTAATATTTTATTCAGAATAGAACACAAATCACAGATCAAAAGTTTAAACTGAGAGAATGTATCATTTTAAGGGAAAAATCTGTTGTTTCCAAATTTCATGGTGTCAACAAATCCCAAAAAAGTTGGGACAAGTCCATTTTTACCACTGTGTGGCATCCCTCCTTCTTCTTACAACACTCAACAGACGTCTGGGGACAGAGGAGACCAGTTTTCAAGTTTAGAAATAGGAATGCTCTCCCATTCATGTCTAATCCAGGCCTCTAACTGTTCAATCGTCTTGGGCCTTCTTTGTTGCACCTTCCTCTTTATGATGCTCCAAATGTTCTCTATAGGTGAAAGATCTGGACTGCAGGCTGGCCATTTCAGTACCCGGATCCTTCTCCTACGTAGCCATGATGTTGTGATTGCTGCAGAATGTGGTCTGGCATTATCGTGTTGAAAAATGCAGGGTCTTCCCTGAAAGAGATGACGTCTAGATGGGAGCATATGTTGTTCTAGAACCTGAACGTAGTTCTCTGCATTAATGGTGCCTTTCCAGACATGCAAGCTGCCCATGCCACAAGCGCTCATGCAACCCCATACCATCAGTGATGCAGGCTTCTGAACGGAGCGTTGATAACAACTTGGGCTATCCTTGTCCTCTCTGGTCCGGATGACATGGCGTCCCAGTGTTCCATAAAGAACTTCAAATCGTGACTCATCTGACCACAGAACAGTCTTCCATTTTGCCACACTCCATTTTAAATGACCCCTGGCCCAGTGCAAATGTCTGAGCTTGTGGAGCTTGCTTAGAAATGGCTTCCTCTTTGCACTGTAGAGTTTCAGCTGGCAACGGCGGATGGCACGGTGGATTGTGTTCACTGACAATGCTTTCTGGAAGTATTCCTGAGCCCATTCTGTTATTTCCTTGACAGTGGCATTCCTGTTTGAGGTGCAGTGACGTTTAAGGGCCCGGAGATCACGAACATCCAGTAGAGTTTTACGGCCTTGACCCTTACGCACAGCGATTGTTCCAGATTCTCTGAATCTTTTGATGATGTTATGCACGGTTGATGATGATAACTTAAAAGTCTTTGCTATTTTACACTGGGTAACACCATTCTGGTATTGCTGCACTATCTTTCTGCGCAACAATGGTGGAATTGGTGATCCTCTTACCATCTTGGCTTCTGAGAGACACTGACACTCTGAGAAGCTCTTTTTATACCCAATCATGTTGTCAATTGACCTAATTAGTGTTAATTGGTCTTCCAGCTGTTCGTTATATGCTCAATTTCCTTTTTCCAGCCACTTATTGCTACTTGTCCCAACTTTTTGGGGATTTGTTGACACTGTGAAATTTTGAATCAACATATTTTTCCTTTAAAATTTTATATTTACTCAGATTAAACTTTTGATCTGTCATCTATGTTATATTACGAATAAAATTCAGTTTTTATTTACAATTTGTTTAGTGTCCCAACTTTTTTGAAATCCGGTTAGTATTTTATATTTTTGCTATTGGGTGTAACTGGGACATGGAGTTCACAATTTCGTTCCACTTCATGTACAACATGTGATGCGAATGACAATAAAGATACTTGAACTTGAATAAATCATAAGTCATAGATATGAGAGAATCTCATGAATATGACTAACAGCACCTTTTTTTTCATATGAATGGCGGAAACGTAGACATATGTGGGCGGAAATAGTCGATTACGTAATGCGTCAATAACGTAACGCAATCGCTCATGTCTATATGCGTATAATTGGCGCAGATATGATATTCCTGAACATAACTCTGGGTGCGCTCGATTCTATTACCAACCTGTTCGCGTGGGCGGAAACTCGTTACTCACGTCATGCATTACAACAGATATCACCGCTTTTCCGTACGGGCATTAATTGTAAACGCACAAAATCTTTGTTAGCATGTAAACGTTAGCATGATTTTACAACATCATGGCGAAGAAGAAGTGTCCTGTAACAGCTGACATGAAAACTGAAGCTCAGAATTTCCCTTCAACGAACAGTGTCTGAAGTTGTTTGCTATTTGACGGGACGTAGTAATGTTTTGCCTCTTCTAAAGCGCTGGTAGTAGATGTTAGTTTCAAAGCTAGCTGTCTTAGCCTCTCGTTAAGATTAGGGAAACTAGCATCCGAATTTCCGCCTTCCCAGTTTTGGCGTAAAAATGCCTAACGCCTCCGAAACGACCCTGCCGCCTGAGTGGGACGACGATGAGCGAATGAACTTTCTGTTCTCCGAGTTCAAGGAGAACCGAGACGTGAACACCACGGACTGGGACAGTAAGATGGACTTCTGGACGGCTCTGATCACGAAGAGCTGCAGGGAGTGCGGCTCCGTGCTGGTCAACCTGCAGGACCTCAACAAGACCTTCCGGAGGAAAGAGAAGTCCCCGCTGGGCTTGTCCACTGTCCTCCAGTCCATGGCCAGGTACCTGCGGTGCTGTCAGCTCTGGGCTGCTGTCTGTCAGTCAGATTATATAAAGTGTGTGTTTGACCTGTTGTGCAGATGTGGGCAGATCCAGAGGGAGTCCGAGTTTGCTGCCAGTGTGGACTGTGGGTGGGTGTCCTGGAGTGTGGGCATGCTGCTGGTGAAACCACTCAAGTGGACCTTCTCCACGCTGCTGGGGAGCAGCCGGGTTCCTCTGGAAGAGTGCTTTGTTGTTCTTGACCTAGTAAAGGTTTGTCAGTCTCAGCATCACAGTGTGCTGGACCTTGGATTCATGCACACATTTAACCCTTTCTCTTTGCAGTACAACCAGCAAACCATTTAACACTTCAACACACAAATCGTTGGAGCTGGTTCACAGATGCAGATCTGGTCTGATGCAGTCCAACCTCACATTTTATTCTAACTGCTTTAGAAGAATTTCAGATTTGATCCTAATCCAGTGGACTGGATTCATCATGTATGCGTGTCAGCGACGTCCTCACCTACTGTCTCCCCCTCAAGTTTGTGTCTCTCACCAATGACTGCCAGAGTCAGTTTAACGTTTGTTCGTGATTATTTTGTAATTGTCAGTCTTTGGAGCGATGGAGTCAGCCATGGACCAGATACTGGTGAATTTGTTGACCGGTGTGAGTTCTGCTTTTATAGTTAAAGTTCTCTAAAACTTAAGCTGAGCACGTCTGGTGCCCCCATCCCCTCAGACCATCGTCATCCATCAGCTTGTTGCTCAGGTGGAGAGTTGAAAGTACCTCAGAACCATAATTAACAACAGACTGGAGTTTAACTTAAATGTTGACAAGGGGTCTACAGCAGACGTGGGCGATATGTGGCCCGAGGGCCAAAAGTGGCCCTTGAACACTTCATCCGGCCCCCAATATTCTTTTCTGATAAGAAAACAACTTTTAAATAAGTCGATGAAAACAGCATTGTTTCAGTAAAACAAAACAAAAAAACTAACAACCTATGGATTAAAATAGGCTAAAACTTTTTTTTTTTTTTAAGTTGTTTCCAGAATTAGACTGAACCTTAAAAATTCCAAAAGACAAACATTAAACATTTTTGTGCACTTCGGCTGACAATAGGGCTCGTTTACAAATTATGTCTTATATTCCTAAATAATATTTTGGAGCTATATTTTTACCAAACATGTTAACGACACTACAGCAAGAAGAAACCTGAAGAAGTCCTCCAAAGGATCAGCCTTAAAGAAATTATATTTTCCAGTTCTCTATGCAGCCCTTCGATTGCTTCATATATCTTTACCTGGCCCTCTGGAAAAAAAATGTTGCCCACCCCTGAACTCCAGTACAGTGTTGTCACTGCCTTGTGAACTTACTTTGTTATGTTGACAAGACTTCAATGGTGCTTTTGAAGAAAAAAAAATAAAAAAATCCTACATCGAGTCTGTTTCAACCTTCTCCTTTTCCATGGAAACACCAACATCAAAGCCAGAAATTTACTCTCAAAACTGATAAAAATGTGAAGCAAAGCAATGGGTGCAGAGCAGCGTTCAGTGTTCAGAGGCCTGATCCGTCCTGAGTTCTGGTTCTGGCCCTCTGGATCCAGACAGGCCACCTCCTGTCAGCACCAGCACATTCAGGAAATTCTTACAGACACATTTATCCGTTTCTTTTTGTTTGCAAATATGTGGAGAGGGTAGTGAGTTGTTTTATTTATTTATTGTTTTTAAGATATTATTTTTGTTTTAACGTGTTTATTTTATTAATCTTATACCTCATGCTATGATCATTTATATAAAGATTAGATTTATTCTTCCTATGCTTGTTGTCTTGCCTCTTTCACTTGCTGCTAACGAAATTGCCCTTTGGGAACACACAACTAAAGTTGAGTTAAACTAATCTTTTTTTTTTTCCAGGAGAAGGCAGCAGAGTTACTCAAGGTTTACCAGAGCAGTGAATTTTCAAGCTGCTCTGTCGTGTCATTTCAAGAGCTCTGTTCTCTGTCGTCGGACATCTGCGCTGACGAGAGCACCCTCTGCATGGCTCTCCTGCAGCTGCAGAAGGACAAGCAGGTCGTCGTTTCCTTACACGAAGGAGACAAGGTAAGTCATCACTCGGCCAACGTAAAAACAAAACGCTTCGGTTGTCGTCGTACGAGGGTTCTTGTGCAAGAAATGTCGCATTCTTTCTTTCCAGATTGTTAAATTCTGTCAGCCGGGGCAGGAGCGAGTGTCCCCCCTGAGCGATGTGGATATCGGCGTCTACCAGCTGCAGCGCAGTGAGAAGCTGCTAGGAGAGCGGGTGCAGAAACTGAGCCTGGAGGCTGACGGGTACGGTCCAAGCATCAACTTCTAATCTGGCCGTTTAGTTCCATTATGCTCGAGGTGATTTATATTTCTGCAGAGGCAATGTGCGCAGCGTTTGGTTCTGTTAGGATGAGATAAATGTGAAATAACTGGTTCTGTGTGCAGCTCGAGCTGATTATCTCCAGACACTGAATTAAAATGATCTGTCTGTAGGTGCACAGAGGACGCACGGAATCTGCTGCGGGAAGGGAAGAAGTCTCAGGTTGTTTTAACTGATAATTGTAAAAAAAACCTACAGTGGTTACAGCCGGACACGTGCCAGCAGTTATTAATTTAGTTATCTTCATCTGCCCCAAAGGCGCTGAGGTGTTTGAGAGGCCGCAAGAGGGTAGAGAAAAGAGCAGACAACCTGTTTGCCCAGTTGGAGACAATCAGAGGAATTCTGGACCGAATAGCTCAGTCCCAGACTGATAAGATGGTACAAAGCTGCGTTAACTGGTCACAGGTCTGTCGGCGTGCATGTTGTCTGTACTGACAGTTTTCTGGCTGCGTGTAGGTCATGCAGGCGTATCAGGCCGGAGTGTCTGCCCTGAGGCTCTCTCTCAAAGACATGAGCGTGGAGCGAGCCGAGACGCTCGTGGATCAAATACAGGAAGTACGTACTTGATGTTAGAACTGTGGATTGTATGTTTAATGATTTTATTCGACTCTTATTATCTTCACGTGTTTCTCCATTAGTTATGTGACACGCAGGATGAGGTGAATCGGACCATTTCCAGTGGCGTGATCACTGCAGGTACGTCATTCTGTCGGTGCTGGATCTTTAATGCACCCGAGGACACGGCAGAGGTTAAAGTTTGATTTTTATTGTTTAGATGAAAACGTGGATGAGTTGGAGGAGGAACTGAAGGCTTTGTTGGATGAGTCGAAGCCGGGTTCCATTTCAGACCTACCCGCAGTCCCAACGAACGGTCTGGGACCCTCCAGGGAGTCGATCCTCAGCTCGCTGCCTGACGTTCCTCGCAGCCACTTGGGTGTTTCCACTGACGAGCTGGAGGAAGAACTGAATCGATTAACGGTGTCAGGCACAGGTTCGTACGTTTTGGTTTTCTCAGCTCGTCTCTCTGGCTACCAGTTAAAGGTAACTTATGATCGACTCTGCATTCAGGCTTTCAGCAGAAGAAAGTCACGTCAGCAGGCAGGAGGTTGGAGCCGACGCAGTGACGGTACAGAGACGACCCTCCGGAATATCTCCATCATCGTATCCAGGAAGCTGTGTCTCTTCCAGTCGATACGCATTCATCCAAGTAAAAACATTGCTCCTATTAATAATTGGAAAAGAGAAATCAGGTTATAAACAATGCACTTTATCCCCTTTTTAATAAAGAAAAGTTCTTTGATGCGGAGAGACATGCCAATTTGGACTCGTAAATGACGTATTGCACATTAATTTTCTTTGAAACGTGTTTATTTTTCATTTGAAGAGTCAAGACAAACATGTAAGTCTTTGAAAGCTGCTCTTTAGCATGTTGGAGCTAAACCCGACAAGAAAACAACCGAACTAATGGTTTATTGTGTGTATGTTCTTATTTGTCACACAGCGTGTTAAAGTGGCCTTCTAAAATGTACATATGTGCTGAAATAGTTAAGAGAATGCGATGCTAAATGATTTATTATAGCTGAATATAAAAGGCCTCTGAGGACTGAAGGACCTGAAGGGAGTTTAACCAAACGTGTTCTTCAAAATAAAACTTGTTTTCATCAGTTGTTGGTGGATGATTTAAGGTTTTACATCGAGCAGATATGAAACTATTCCTTGTCGGTCTTATTCCACATCACGGAAATAAACTAGGGATGCACGATATTATCGGCATGGTATCGGTATCGGACGATATTAGCGTTAAAGTTCAATATCGGCCATTCCATCAGAATAACTCACCGATGTAAAAGACGCTGTTTTGTGTGAACCCAGTGACAAGGATGCCTGCTGTGCTGACGTCACGTGCGTCTACCTGATCTGATCACGGCGGAGAGGAAAAGTCCTCACTCCATCATTCACAGTCTGAGATATTTTTCTGACGTAACCTTACTCGAGTTACAAGGTGTAATTTCTGACGTATATAATGGATAGATGAATTTATGTCGCCAGCTCTTACAGCTGTTACTCAGTTTTTGTAGCAAATAAACCTAAATAAGAGGGCTATGTTCTAGTATATAAAAAATATCGGTATCGTAATCGGCCAAATAAGTTTTAACATATCGGATATCGTCCAAAAATCCACTAACGTGCATCCCTAAAATAAACCTTTGTTCAGTTTACAGACTTCAGGTGGTTCATCAGGCTGTTTTAACCAGAGTCATCACTGGTTCAGAACATGCGGGCAGCTACTGGAACTACATTATCAAGAAAATACAAGTGATCTTCAGTGTTTTTCTGTGTCCCATGCCATTCAGTAGAATCACTATACATTTAGAGGAAACTCTTCTAACAAATTCAAAATATTCCATTTTGGAGTTTAATTTGAGCCACATCTTATTTGTTTCATACTTTTATCAGTCCCAACCCTGGTGTTTTAAGTAATGTCAGTAAATTGGGTAATGGCATAAAGAGTATACATTTGTGTTCACTTAGGTAAACGTGTCTACCACAGGTTTTTTCCACGTTGGAGTATGCTGTTTGTGGAAATCAGTTTGGGGGGCTCCTCAGATTGAAGAAGTCCTTTGGATGAAACGTCTCGGCAAAATTAAAAAAAAAAAAAGGTCCAGATGACCTGACTGAACATTGCTGGATTTTTACCTGGATTATTGAGCATGAACTTTGGTGCCACAGGGAAGTTTTACCGATGTTTTCCTAGTTGTCTTTTTTTGTAAGAAACTGATCATTTTAATTTATATGTGATTTTCAGATGCAAGGCCCTCACACTTTTATCATATTACAAGATAATATTAGCTTGACTTTTGTTATGGCTAAAGAAAGGAAGAATCTGATCTTAATTAATCCAGACAATTTGCTTCTGGATATGATTTTATCTGTGGGGGAGTTGTTCCATATGTTTAGGGAAGGGCAGCACGGTGGCACAGTGGGTAGAGCTGCTGCCTCTCAGTGAGCAGGTTACCCTGGTTCAAATCCTGGTCCGGGGGCCTTCCTGGGTGGAGTTTGCATGTTCTCTCTGTGCATGTGTGGGTTTCCCTAGGTACTCTGGTTTCACAGACCAAAAACATGCATGTTAGACTGATTGGTAACTAAATTGTCTCTAGGTGTGAGTGAATGAGTGCATGTTGTTCATTTTGTTTGTCTTTATGTGTCCCTGTGATGGACTGGAGACCTGTCCAGGGTGTCCCCCACCTTTCCCAGTGAATGTTGGACATGGTCACCAGTGACCCCCATGACCCAAAAAGGAAGAATCGGGTAAAGATTATGGATAGATGGACGCTTAGGGAAACAGATTTAATGTAGAGGTTTAGTCCATGAATTCTTTTGATTTTGAAAACCTTCATTTCCCAGCAGGACATCTAGTGGCCTGTTGGATGAATTGTACCTAAAAAGGAAGTGCTGCTTCTTCTGGTAAGATTCCCTCCTGTTTGTAAGCAGAGGGAACGATGGGGGGGATGGGTTAATGTTTGAGAACATGAACTGTTGGGGCATCATGGAGGCTGTCAGTGGAGCAGACTTTACTTGAGATGGAAGCTCAGCTCCTTCAAAGTTTGCAGCCAGTCATATCAGTGCAGGTAATCCAGTCCACGATCATCTTAAATGACTTCTTTCTGTGCTATGAGATGCTGCTCTTTCAGACTGACATACAGGCCTAAGAAATTAGCTTTCTTATTCAAACACCTGAAGAAAAACGTTTGTCACAGGTGTACATTAGCAGAAATGAAGCGTCCAAACCAAACATTAAAAAAGCATTACTTTATTGGTTTTTAATCGATAATGACAAGGATTTTTACTGTGAAAAGCAGGCTAATAGAAGATTGAATTACCATCAAGTTCGTGGTGCAATACCTACAGAGAATATGTGACCTGTTCTTGGACATTTTTCTATTGTGTTCTATAATAACCAATAAATTAAAAAAGAAACGATTACAAATTCACAGCCTTTAAAAAGTACAGGAAGTCATATCACAAACATCTTGTTAAAGCAGTGATTTAAAAATGCCCTTGTGTGACAAATAGCATCAGTGGATATAGTTTCAGCCAAAGCTAAATTCTCCCCTCATTTCTCACACACACGTGCACTCACACACAGACGCGCTGATAACTATCAGCTCATATTGCATTAAAACATGTCCACTGCTGCCACTTCCTTCTGTCAGCAAAAGGAACCGTTCAAATATTAGCACTCACCTCCACGACCTGCAGATTTCAATTGCACGTTACGCAGCGTCTACCTACAGTAATGATTATACACGTATCACAAGCAGAAAGACATTCTAGGAATATTAGATTATTTCACTTCTATCCTACGCAGCTGACGTGTTGTTATACTTGTTGGTGCTTTCAGCCTGGTGAGGAGACGACGCAGACAGATATGTAAAGATAACTCGTAGCCATGACTACAGTTCACAGCTCGTGTATGATTGGACCGGTGAAGCAGGCACTGATGCAGATATTTGGCTGAGAGTTGGTTCTTCGCTCCACAGACGTCAGAATGAAACGAAAGTCTGAGCAAAAAGTTCCGATGTGTATAATACAACGTCTCACTGGGACATGATTAAGAACCGTTTGGCATGCTGTGCAGTAGTTGTGGTGGACCAGGAGTCCTCGTGGAACACCACTAAATGAGATTAGTTTATACTGCAGTGTTGGGTCAAAAGCAGGCTACACAGTGGGGTCAGGCTCCTCACTCTAGGATCAGACGCATAAACAATGCATACACACAAAAACACAGGACTGTGCAGTGAGAATGATGCAGCTCATACATTAAATTTACACAAAACTAAACTGACAACATTATAGTGATTTATTTTAGTAGAATTATAGCTCTTCTAGTAGTTGGAAGACGTTAATGAGACATTTAGAACTGAACCATAACTTAAAAATTGCACTTGTTTACTGGTACTTTCACTGCACCCGTATTATGCCAGTTTTAACATGCATATGACTTAAGATGGCGGTCTGGAGCCATTAATGGTGAAAACATACGGTATGTAGAACATTGAGAACATTTACAAAATCAGAACCATAGATGTGCACAGCTTTCAGAATCTGACCCCCCCCCCCCCCCAAAAAAAGGCATATGCACATTTTTATGTTTTTGTGTTCACACATTTGTACTGATAAAAACTACAGTTTTATGCATCTGTTCCTAGATGTGTGTGTGTGTGTGTGTGTGTGCATGTTAGCGTTACAGAGTTAAACTGTCCTGTCAGCTTCTGAGTGCTTCTGGATAACCTTGTCCTCGTTGACCTGGTCCACAGCCAGCGTCTCCAGCTCTGCTTGAGGCAGGGTGAGGGGGAGGGTGCCATGCGGGATGCGGTGTGCCACGCCCACATGAGCCCTGTGCTGACGATCCCGAGCGGGGCTGTGACGGGGACTGGCTGTGGCACCTAGGAGAGGGATGGGGGAGCGATCTGAGGTGATAGGAGGGATGACCGTAGGCCGCTCGCGCACCACCTGAGGTTCGGGAGACTCCCTCCCTGCCTGGAGGAAAGGTGTGGGGTCGGGCATGGCATCGACCGCTTCTCGCAGAACCAGCCGCCTGCCGTCCGGACCGAGGCGGTACACCTCAGTCAGCTCTGGGTGAAGAGGCTGGGAGAGGCTCTTCTTCATGCGACGACGTGGGGTTTCAGGCTGCCTGTCCTTAGCCGGTGGCGGCGTGGGCTTATAGGAAGTGACTGGACTGACGTTAGGACTTGCCTCAGACGAACTGCCGGCTAAAAGCTTCTTCTTAGTGGCATGAAGTTGTGAGGTGAGGTAAGCAATGGTGCTCGCTCTTTGCTCCAGCTCTCCAGACAAAACAGCCAGCTTGTGGCTCTTCATCTTCAGCTCTTCCAGATACTTCTTCTCCCTCTCTTTGATTGTGTTTTCCAGGACAGAAATCATAGCATTCTTTTGCTCCAGGTCCCTGAGCAGCTCCGTGTTCTCCTCCTCCTTCTTCTTAAGCTGGACCTCCAGCTCCTCACACCTCCGTTGCAGCTCCTTGCATCGTTCCTCACTGCTGTCTAAACATAATAATAATAAAAAACTGCAGATTTAATAAGCAGGATAAAGAAAACTGAGACAGACCTACACATTAGGATTAATCATTATTAAACAGAGACAGCCTGTCAGCTGACACAGACAGTATGGTCCTATAGAGATCCATTTGCACAGAGCTCCAGTCTCACGTTACAGCTCTGAAAGACAACAAGAGCACTGCACTCATCTGACCTCCATCACTGCGGCCCCCACCTCACTGTGTAACACCACCTTACAGACAACACACTCATGTTGTACTGTGTGCCAAAAACAAAAGACCACTCCTTAAGACACATCGGAAGTGACTGTGTTCTGTTTATTGCTTGTTTTTTATTTCCTAAAGTCACTCCAATCAAATAAGTGGAAAAATGAATATCCTTTTTCCGAAGGTGGGGGGTGGTGGGGTGGTATGTTTTCGGTCCAGCTGGAGGATCTGCAGTGAGCAGGTTGGAGGCTGTGCATTAGTGAAGTGACAGATAATCTCATTTCCTGCACTCCAATCTCTGAGATGTCCCACAATAACATGATAACTGGAGGAGGTCCCAACATACTGACCCACAACATCCTGATCAAAAAGCCCACAACACATCGCAGTGGCCTGTTCAGGACACACATTGGTAGTTAGTTAGTTAGTTAGTTGGTTAGTTGGTTGGTTGGTTGGTTGGTTGGTTGGTTGGTTGGTTGGTTGGTTCGTTCAAGTTTATTTGATCAAGGACAGTTCAATAAACAATGCTACATGATAAGAACGAAGCAACTGCTGTTTTGTACGAAGGTTTTCTAGCCACAGGCTAATTTGTAAACCTAGTCTTTGGTTGGGCTTTTTTTTTAAAAACAGCTAAAATAAAAATGTAATTAAATTAGAATTAAACAGTTTCTTCACACACGTGCCTGCTCCTCCATCCCCATGGGGCTCAGTGTTCACAGATTTGATTTTGTTTCAGCCATTGTTTCACCTGGGAACTAAGGTCTGTTCGTGTTTTTATTGCTGATGGTAAACTGTTCCAGATATGAGGACCTTTATATGAGAAGGAACATTGACCAGATGATGTTATGTATTTCACAGGTTTGCAGTCTCCATCAACTGCACCTCTTGTTGCAACTCCTGAGCTGCTGACTTTTAAAATCATTCTGCTCACCAGCTCTGAGACAAGAACATTAATGCATTTAAAGGTCAATTTTAAACAAGAACAATTTAAAATATTGTCAAAGCAAAATTATATTTCTCCAGTATCTTACAGTGGTGCCACTGCAATGATTTTTGGTGTAAAACTTTCAGTGCTTGTGTACACAACATCCTCACAGGTTTAGTGACACAGGATGAGATAGTTTGGTAATAAATGTAATTTATATTTAGTGACTGGGTTCTGACTCAGAGCAGTGGTGTGATTCTGCTCCACCACAGCTCTGTGAGAGGACGAGCAGCTGGCTGTGAGCTTGGGGAGGTGTAGCGAACAGCAGTGACTCCCATGGTGTGGTGCACCACCCTCTGCTGCAGACCTCCCCACTCATGCAAACACTCATTTATTGACATCTCAGTTACATTTACTACTAGATACTTTATATATGGCTCATAGACATTAAAACCAACATAGAAAACATTGGTAAGATCTATTTTTGACTAAACAAAACCACTCAAACCATTTGTGGCAAAATATCTGCAAATAAAGAAAGGCCACGCATTTCATGGTCTACTCTGTGTGGGCTGTTGTGTACAGAGAACCCAACTTTGTTGACTCAGTGACAGATCTTAATCATAAATCAGCTGCAAAACTCAACGACGTGACTTAAACTTGTTCAAAAAGAGCAACAGTGATGAAATGCTGCAGATTTATCAACAACTTTTTAGAAATAAGTGTCAAGAGTCAACCTGTCTAGATGAAACTCAGACGATACAGAAGTTCAGAACAAACAACCCTTTTGCAAAAATAAAAACACCATTCAGCGTAAAAAATACATCACATTTATTGTAAACTTCAACTGAACATCTTGCTTACAGAAATAATAAATGTGTGTGCAGCTTGTTTCAGTAGCAAATGTGTCAAAAATTAACTTATAATGACATGAAACCAAAAGCTGTTATTTACAGCTTTACCAATAAACATTTTGATAATGAACTGGTAAAAAAACTGCAGTTTGATTTTATAGGACTTCATCGACATTAACAGATTCCATAATTATTATCTATATAAAAATAATTTTCCTTTTAAAATCAATTTGACTTTTCTCTATAATATTTCTCTTTAAATAAAAACAGAATTGTGTCCATTTCTGAACATTTTTAAATTAAATGTTTATCAGTACTGCTGTCAATATGACATTAAATAAAAGTTAATTAAGTGGTGCTGTTTATATTTTTAAATGCATTGTAAATTATTTTAACGAGGCACCTTTTTTTTCCCGTTGTATCAAAAAAGTCTGAGCGTCAATCATTTTCCTTAGTTTCAGTACTGAGTCTGTGATTTTAGTGTTGTGAAGCCCCCAAACAGTTTTTCACAGTTAGAGCACGAGTGGAAAGTAAAAGGTTTTCATTTGAGCTGCTTGCCGATGCGTCTCGCTGCAGAATAAGAACAAGAAACGGTGCTCCCCGAGCTCACGTTAAACTAAAGCTGAGTTTTGTTTTTATTAGTCTAGCCCACACCTCAAACAGCTCAGCCAGCTGAAGGAGGTCAAAAAGTTGTAAAGGTTATTTTGTTTTTCTTCAAACGTTCACAAAGTCAGAATCATATTTACATACGAGTTTCTTTATGAAACGGCTAAAAGCTGAGTTTTGTTTTTTGCTTGGGGCTTTACTGTAGGACAGTATGAGAGCGAGCTTACCTGATGGATCAGAGCTTCTCACAGTGAGCTCGTAGGTCAGGTCTGGTAAAAAGAAAGATGGAGGTTACTCAGATGTTGGATGAGGGTGAAATAGAGCAGCTATCCCACAGCATACTCCTCCCACTGACTAACTCGCAGCATCATAGTAAAGATGGTTGAGCTCACCTGTACATTGCTGCTGTAATCTGCGGATCTCTGCGTGGAGCCCCTTCAGTGTGTTAGCATGGTCCTGCTGCAGGAAGAGCAGGTTCTTCTGGGCACTGTGCAGCTGATTTTCCAATGTTACGTTTGCTGATGCCATGGCAGTTTATGTTTGGACCAACACCAACCTTGCAACTGCAACAGAGCAAAGAAGGCAAGGAGGAATGAGAAAGACAAGATCTCATGCCATCATCTAATAAATCTGTGGGAATGTTATGATTTATGTAAAGTCATTCAACAGCATGGGATACATTTTCATTGTTATGTTGATGATACACAATTACAATTATATTTGATCATGAAACCCAATGAATCCAATCAGCTACTTAAACTACAAGCATGTCTTAAAGACAAAAAAACCTGGATGACCCTAAATTTTCTCCTGTTGAACACAGACAAGACTGAGGTTTTGGTTTTTGGACCTGAGCATCTTAGGAATTAATATTTCAGACTTTCTCCCTCCTTAAATGGCATTAATCTGGCCTCTAGTTCTCATATTGAAAATCTTGGTGTTATTGTTGATCAGGACTTGTCTTTTATCCCCCACATTAAAAACGTTACTAGAACTGCCTTCTTCCACCTGCGTAATATCACTAAAATTAGAAACATCTTATCTAAAAATGATGCAGAAAAAACTGGTCCATGTATTTGTCACGTCTAGACTGGACTATTGCAATGGTTTATTATCTGGGTGTCCAAATACTTCTTTAAAACGTCTTCAGTTGATCCAAAATGCTGCCAGAGTCTTAACTGGAGTTACTGGGAGAGATCATATCTCTCCAGTTTTAGTTTCTCTCCATTGGCTCCCTGTCAAATCCAGAATAGAATTCAAAATCTTACTTCTAACCTACAAAGCTGTCAACAACCTAGCTCCATCTTATATTACTTTTATTAGTATTGTTCCATATTTTGGGCAGCAAGGTGGCGCAACTGGTAGAGCTGCTGCCTCTCAGCGAGCAGGTCCTTGGTTCAAACCCCGGTCCGGGGGCCTTTCTGGGTGGAGTTTGCATGTTCTCTCAGTGCATGCATGGGTTTTCTCCGGGTACTCCGGTTTCCTCCCACAGTCCAAAAACATGCATGTTAGGCTGATTGGTAACTCTAAATTGTCCCTAGGTGAGAGAGTGAATGTTTGTTTGTCTCGTTTGTCTCTATGTGTCCCTGTGATGGACTTGCGACCCGTCCAGGGTGTGCCCCGCCCCTCGCACAGTGATTGACGGACATGGGCATCGGTGACCCCCGTGACCCAAAATGGAATAAGCGGGTAAAGAAAATGGATGGATGGATGTTCCATATTTTCCTAACAGAGCACTTCGCTCTCAGACTGCAGGTTTACTTGTGGTTCCTAGAGTTTCCAGAAACAGAATGGGAGGCAGAGCTTTCAGTTATCAGATTCCTCTCTTGTGGACCCAACTTCCAATCTCTGTCCGTGAGGCTGACACATTGTCCAGTTTTAAGAACTGGGCTTAAGATTTTCCTTTTTGTTAAATCCTATAGTTAGGGTCAGCTTGAGTTTCCTGAGCTGTCCATTAGTTATGCTGCTATAGGCTTAGACTGCTGGAGGACAAACTGACCACACTTTTCACTCTGCTGCTGTATTTACTTACTCTGCTCAACCTGTTTTGTGTTTGTAATTATTTTTTATATCCTTAACGTGTTTTTTTTCTTTCAGATACACCTGGATCTATACCTGGACCGACCATTCTGTGTTCGTCTGTCTCTCCTTCCTGTCCTTTCAACCAGCCAGTCAAAGCAGATGGCCGCTTGTCCTGAGCCTGGTTCTGCTGGAGGTTTCTTCCTGTTAAAAGGGAGTTTTTTCTTTCCACTGTTGCCACTGTGCTTGCTCAGGATGGGAAACTGCAACAAAGCCAAGATTCAACTTGTCTGCCAATACTAACTGTCTTTTATGTATGTGAATGTTCCTGTAAAGTGCCCTGAGACAACTTTGTTGTGATTTGGCACTATATAAATAAACTGAATTGAATTTATTATTTCCATTGTGGAGTATCATGAAGATAGTTGTAATGATAATAACAAAGAACATTTAGCTCTTCAATAAGAACCAAATGCAGAAATGGTTCTTGATTTAAAATGTAGCCATTTTTAAAGGAGAGTTCTGTGCAAAAAAAAAAAGTTAGAAACAATCTTACGAGTAGATAGCTCTTTGATCGACCACAGTTTAAAAATAAAAGGAACTGATGAACCAGCAACTAGTTCAAATGCAGCTAGGACCAAAGTGGACGGTTGTTGACTTAACATCCAGTTTACAAACGTTCATAGTGGTTCATGCAAACGCGATTAGCACAAATAACCATAAAGTTCTGTGTAAATAGTAAGAAAGGCACTAAAACCTAAAACGTTACTACAAGTCATGTATATAAAACAAACTGCTTTCTTCCCTGACACACCACACCTCCCTCCTCCCTCTCTTTTCACTGGTTGTCCTTGTCTCCTTCACAAAGCCATAATTAAAAAGAAAAGCAGTCCAACATTCGTCACTTTCTGTCAGACACTAATATCAGAGGATGGGACGACAGGATATTGATCCATGCAAGACACTCCTCTACAGTGGAGAGAACGTCTCTGTGCATATGTAAGTGTGCTTCAATAAAACATCCCAGAGCGTCTCACCCTTACATCATCAGCTCGCTTACATGAATAATGCATCCCGTGACACCAGGCTGGACATGCTCCTTGGTTTCAGTTCAAAGTGTATCTTTTATACCTTAAAGAAGAAAACTGAAAGTGCGTTATTACCAAAACGGTAAGTGGTCTGAACAAATCCGGCCAGTCGTGTGTCATAAAGACTGAGGGTTTAATCTATTATTGATGAGTAATGTGGAGTCCTTCCGGTAAACCCTGCTGCAAGCATATCTCTCATTCCAGCCCGCTCCTAGAATAGCTCAGAAAGCTTTCCACTGGCAAAGACATAACCTCACACAACATGCATTAAAAACCTTCTGTAGCATGGAAGTGATGAGTAATTTAGGAAATTCAGGAGAAACAGTAAGTTAGTCCTGATGCATGCTCAATAGTCCAGGTAGATAAATCTAACAAGAGTCAGGTCCTCTGGGCGGGTTCTTTGTTGAAACATTTTGTCTTTGATCTGACTGAAGAAATCTTAGACAAAGGACAAAACGCTTCATTAAAGAAGAACCTGCCCAGAGGACCTGACTCTAGAATAACATTTAGTATTGTCATAGCTGGGTCCCCTTTTATTATTGTTCTTTCTTAACACACCATCAGTAATTCCCATTCAGACTATATAAATAATCAATGAAGAACAGCAGCATGAAAAGTTAGAACATAGCTGCCAACCTGAGCCACAACAACAAGATTTTAACAGTAACTTTCTTAAATGAAGCTCACAAAACTGTCCATGTTACATCTGAACACCACATGCATTTCCTTACAGGTTTTCTGTAAATGTGTGGCCGGATATATTTAACAAACTCTCTGACACAAATAACTCTTCCTAATCCAGGCAACAACAAGATCAATTAAGATCTCGCCTTCTATGAAGGAATGCATATCACCCGCCACCTGTCATGCCAAATGTTTAGACCAAGATCATTTTGTTTCTCATTACTTGAGAAATGATGGCGTTGCAAGCATTTGTCACATCCACAAAACAGAAAACAAACAAAAAACAAACAAATAAAACACACTCAATCACAGGTGATATGAGTATTAAGAGTATGTTTTGTGAACAACACTAGCTATGATCACATCAAATTTTAGCTCGGTGTCTGTTAAACTGACTGAATTACAACTGTTTTTGTCTCAGCTAATGTTGATTAGCTTTGGCAGCCATATTTAATTGGACCAACTTCAAAGGTTATCGAGTTGTATGCATACATCCAACAATTACTTTCGAAAAGTTTCAATAAAATCAGTCTAGTGCATGAGATATTACGTTAACTGAGTTTACCTACACAGTTAAGGTTAAAGTTTTAAGCAATGATGTTTCTTAAGTAGTGAATCACCCTCAGCTACTACCACACCACATTATAACCTAATATCTGTCAAACTGACTGAATTATAACTTTTTTTTTTGTATTCTCTTAGGCCATTTGAATCAGGTTTGATCTGAAAGTTAATCATGTGTGGAGGTAAATCTAATGATTATTTCCCCCAAATTATCCAGTTAAAACCTGTCCAACGGTTCATGAGCTTGTTTGCTATTACTTCAAAATAGTTAACGGCAACATTTTAAACAAACCTTGTTCAGTTTGTTAGCACTACAACGATATCACTCAGTATCTGTAAAACTGACTGAGCTTTAGGCATTTTTGTGTTCTGAAGGTCAGGTGGATGTTGCGATCATCTTCAACTGGGTTGCCTCCAAAAAATAATGAGCTGTATGAGTTACATCCAGAGATTACTTTCTGAAAGTTTCAATAGAACTCGTCCTGTGGTTCATGAGACTATTTTGATCATAGGCAGACGCACACACAGACACATGCTCAAACATCATGATAAACCACTAACAACTAAAGGTTGACAATTACACATAATATGTGCCGTTCTTTCAGGATGTAAACAGAGAGGTTAGCTGGCAGGATCTTTACACTTCAGCACCTGCATTGCGGACAGCAGCCCCAAATAAATTTGACAGAAGCTGCTGAGCTTTATTATTCTGAAGAGACATTGTAAACTTACTATGGCAGATAAGCTTGACCTTCTTTTTTTAATCAAGCAAGACATTATTAATCAAACCTGGGTCTGGTGAGCGCTGCAGGTGAGGGATTTTAAAGCCTGTGGTGTAATGCAGGATGTGCAGTGTGGGGTCAGGGTGGTGTGCTGCTGCTGCCCGGGGAGGAGCTGTCCACTTTCAGGAGCCGCAAACAAAAAAAAGCTCCTCTTCTAACCCCGCAAAGCCAAAACGGTCAGCGAACTGTGCGCCAAATACACCGCAGACTGTGAAACAACAGTCTCCCTGGCGCTGTAAACAACTTTAGTGTCACGCCAGATTCAGGTGTGTTGCAGCACTGCGCACAAACGAACCGCTGCCCCATTATTTACGACCGGAGAACACAACAATTTTAGGAGTTAAATGTCGCTAAAGTCAATCAGATCGTTTCTCGAACATGCCGAACTAACGCAGACAATCAAAAACACGCAAAAGTAGCGGCTGGAAACCATTTTCACCTCAATAACCACGTTTTCAACCCTCGCTAAATAGAATTTTCTGCTCTCACAAGTGAATTACGCTATGACGCTTTTTGAAGTGGGCTAGCTTGGTGGCTAAAGACGCAGCAACCGGACGTTAACATTATCCAGCAGCTTACCTTGGAGCTATGGACACAGCGGGTGAATAGCTCGTAAAATGTAGTAAATTCTCGTTTTAGCCTCGGCCAAGCTCATTCCACCTTGCGGGGCATATTGGTGATGCTGAGGGGCTCCTCTCTGTCGGTGGAGAGCGGAGGGTGTCTGTCTATCATCTCCCTGAGCTACTAGACAAAATAAAGCGATGCATCATGGGAGTACATCACAAACCGCCTGGCCTAAACCTAAAAACATCCAGATATAATCATTCTGCACATATACTATTATTTACAGTTTAAACTTTAACAAACCGGTGGTTGTATTAAAGATAAAACGTTTAGGTACCTTAAATGGTATGAACTGTGCGTGTGTCGTTAGTTTTCGTCTTGAATGTGCTACCGTTGTGCGGTGATAAGCGTCGTAACCATAGCAACAGATTCTGTGCAGCGCTCTGCTGAGAAACGCGTCCGCCATCTAGCGGTGAAGTTGATACATTGCAATGCAGGTTTTATTTAATTTGTGCCTACCAAATTTATCTCGGATTGAAAACTGTTGGCCAAAATCTCAACAGCAGAGGGAAGTGTTGGTCTTCTGAGTTTTTTTTTTTTTTTTTTACATTGTGTATGTGTGTAAATATATATTTTTACACCACAATTTTCCAGTCCAATTCTGCATCTCTCAGTACTCAGAGTCACATTGAGAAATGAGATGGTGGGGTTGATGTCAGCAATGAATTCAAAAGAAAACTGTGCAATTGTTACAGCAATTGTGTAAACAATTTAGCATTCTTCTAAAAGTAAAATAACGATATGTAAAATAACTTTTCATGCTGCTGTATTCATTCATACCCATCAGCTCAGCACAGACTCATGTTCGGGCTGCTGTGTTACGCTGTATTGTTTTGCATTATTAGTGTTTCATGGATCTTAGATCTTTTAGCGTATCGTTTTGTATTTCTTTTAGCATATATCTTAGTCTATAGCTTAGATCCTTATTTATTGTTTTTTATACTTTATATTTTGATATTTGTGGGTGTAATTGGGACCCTGTGTACATTATTTCATCCCACCTCATGTACCACATGAGAAGGTAATGGCAATAAAATTTACTTGAACTTGAACTTGAATATTTTAGGATTTTGGTCCTTTTTTGGTGGCATATGAAAAGATCAAGTTCAAGTAAATTTTATTGTCATTTCCATCATGGGGTACATGAGGTGGAACAAAATTATGTACCCAGGGTCCCAGTTACACCCCAAAATAGCAAAAATATAAAGTATAAAAAGCAACAGTATATAAGGCTCTAAAATATACACTAAGATCTCCACTAAACAAACGCCAAATGGTACGCTAAAAGATCTAAGATATAAGCTAAACCCTAATAATGTAAAATAATATGGCATAACAACAGCAGCACGGACATGAGTCTGTGGTGAGCAGATAGGTATGAATGAATACAGCAGCATGAGATAATCAGCAGCATGAGATCAGCAGCATGGATAATCAGCAGCACAGATAAGTCACATATCACCAGTTAAAGTGGCATTACAGTGATTATCCAGGTTAGAAATTCATGAGTCTAACAGCTTCAGGGTAGAAGCTGTTCCTCAGTCTATTTGTTCTACATTTAATGCTCCTCAATGTCCTGTCTGAGAGGAGCGGTGCGAAAACTGTGTGGGCTGGGTGAGTGGGGTCCTTCATGATGCAGGTGGCCCTCTTCCTGCATCTGGAGGTGTAGATGTCTGTGATGGTGGGGAGACCGACTCCAACAGATTTCTGTGCAGCCTTCACCACTCTCTGCAAAGCTTTTCTTTCTGCAGCTGTGCAGCCTCCATGCCACACGTTGATGCTGGAGCACAGGATGCTCTTCACTGCACACCTGTAGAAGGAGGTGAGGACTGAGCTTCCCAGACCAGCTCGCCTCAGCCGCCTGAGGAAGTAGAGTCTCTGATGAGCTTTCTTGATCAGGCTGGTGGTGTTGTTGCTCCAGCTGAGGTTGTCATTCAGGTGCAAACCCAAGTATTTGTAACTGGAGACTACTTTCACCACAGATCCTCCTATGTTTGGGGGGTGGGGGGTAGATGTGTTTGCTCTGTCTGAAATCCACAGATCCAATCCAAAGATTTAAAGAGCTCTGAAAAATATTGCCATGTAGACAGAAATGTACAAAGCAGTAATCATTAACTCTCAGTAAAGCAGTGTTAAGGCATTAATGTCTCGTTGGAGGCATTTCTGCACAGGCTTAAGAACATTTAAAGCTAGTTTTTGTGAACACAGTACCTAGGTGCATCATCTAAATCAAGCTCAAGTCAAATCAATTAAAACAAGCTTACAATGCAAAGAAAAATGAAGCATGATTCACGTGAAGGAGATTCAAAAGTGCCCTTGTAATTCCAGGATTATTGCTTTTTAGGCACCGATGAGATGTGAAATAAATCTGATTGATCAAAATGTTAAATTCTTAGAAATCAAGGACATCATCTTCTGGTTTAACCAGAAAAAATCCAACATCTATATGCTTTGATATCTGTTCACAAAATGGGCTAAAAATACAACTCAGGAGGTCCCAAACTAACATGAAGCAATCACAACAAAACAGAAGTGATCTGTCAAACACACAAAGTACTGTTAGGAAGAAGATCTGCAACACACTCAAAAACCTGATCACGCTCATGATTTACATTTTGAATGGAATCAGTTTTATGTATTTATAAGCATGCTTTAGTTTGAACTTGTACACATGTATTATTTTTCTCTCTTTTTCAGCTTCTAAATTTTAAACTAAGGTGATTCCAAATCAGAGATTTTGGATGTTTATACAAGCTGCAGCTTTAAAAGGAGAAACATTTTTCACAAAGAATTTTTAACTGCTGACAATCCTGTGACAAACAAATAATAAGCAGGTATCAGCGAACCAGAGAGGCCAGAAGAATTGTTTATAATTTGCACTAGTTTGATTATCTCTTTACATAATCAAAAATATTAATGCACCAGAAAAAGGACATTTTAGAAAAGATTTCAGCTAAATTGTCACTACACAATGGGACAAACTGGCTGCAGCAAATGAACAATTCAAAGACTAATCAAGAAAACACTTTTTGGGGCAGCAGAGAAGCTTCACGCTGAGTGAGAAAATCGTCCATATATACCAGTTTAACTGGATGTTGTTTTAAAATCGTGCCACTAACTGAGGCAGAATAAATTGTTGATAGTTTTTTGTAATAAAATAAAAAAGTTATAAGAGATTCCTGCAGGAGGCTGGCTTGAAAAACAGCAGTGAAGACTACCTCTGGGACAGATCTGGTTGGCAGGCTGCAAGCTGAATAAGTCCTCTGGATGGGGGACGAAATGTTTCTCACCTATAGAAACTGGTCCAGATGAGACGATTTAACCTTTTTTTTTGTAATCTACCTGATTGAGCTCACAAACCTAGTTTTTTGTTATGTTTTAATGATTTGTTTCAAATGTAGATTTTCTAGCGAAATACATGAACTTGATTTGGTTTTTAAAACAATTATTCAGCTCTTCTGGCCCCGGGCTTTCTCGACTCTTCGAGTCTGGGGTGTGCAAATTGGGAAAAAAACAGAGAACCTTTCAGAAAACCCAGAATAAATCATTTCTGGCCAGTGAAAGTCCGTGAGACGCAGCTTCTGTGTAAAGTGATACAAACTAAAAACAAAAGCTTTTTATTTCATACCAGCTTAAGAATGAGTCTCATGTGTACAAATATAAAATCATGTGGAGTAAATGGAAATATTGTTCACCTCAAGGAAGGGTATTTTGTTTTAAAGCCATTTTAACCTTTCCCGGTCTTTGTCCTGTTTGCAGTAGTGATTAAATTATTCTAATTTCTTTACGTTTAGTGATTCTGGCACACGTCCCAGCTCACAAACGATTCAGGAGAAGGAAAGTTACAGTCGCTCAAGCAGAAGGGAGGCAAAAAATAAATCCCCAATGGAGATCCTTTCCTTCCGTGAGACTTGTTTTACCTGCACACAGCTCGCCACCTTCATATAATAAAACGTATTGAGAAGTACTAACCAAATGAAAAGAAGCAGGTATGACGCTTTACGTCCTACATTGTTATTTTAGCCTCTGCTAACAGGGGCTCTGGTTCTGCTTAAAATCAAGCAGAGAAAACTCCTCCACACACAAACTTCTCCTAAGCTGAGGTGAGCACAGTCAGATTTCCTTTAACGACCCTCATAAATGTGTCAGATTCTACTCCTGAGCCCATCTTTAGATTGAGAACCTGGTTTTATGAAGACGCCAATGAAATACATTCCTCCGAACGCAGGCAGAATAAGTGATGCCATACAGATGGCGGCAACGGTTCTGGATTCAAGCCCAAAGCTGATGGAAAAGTAATAAGATTGAGCTATTAAGCTTTTCTTACAATTTCTTGGCATCCGCCGCACATTACTGAGATCAAAAAACAAATTTATGTCATTCCTGAGTGTGTCTCCTTGGTCCAGTTGCTGGATTGGGAACAGA